TTAGGCTACTCTTTATTCGTGTTTTCATACCATGAAGATGCCAGTTTGCATCGTCAATGCAATCTTTATCTTTGCAGCAACTGACATAGAAAACACTAGTTTATTAATAAATAATTTTATCTCGGCTCCACTCGGCTCGCGTCGAGAGCTCGTGGCGCATGATCTTCAGAAATGCGCTCCCCTCTCTAGAGGAAATATCACCACTCTGCTCACATTCTCTGGTGTGAGACAATGTGTATCTCCTGTTTTCTAATAGTTTATTGACAGCTTTTAGATGCATTATTGGAACCGACACTCTCTGGTTGAACGTGTCATCATGTGTGATGCCGTCTGAGCCTTATCTCGTAATTTTTAATTAGTCACGCGGTAATACCGTATACCGCGGTAAAATAGGGAGGAGGTTTGACGTATGAAAATTTGGATACCGCCCATGCCTATGTAGTATGCTTGCTTATCATAGGAAGTAATAAGAAATGACTTTACATTAAGGTAGGAGTGTAGTGAGAACATGATGTTGGGGGAATCACTTTTTTTTTTCTTTTTCATCAAACCACAGTTTTTGCAAGTACCCACAGTTTTTGCATGTTCCTCCAGTTTTTGCAAGTTCCCACAATTTCATTGTATAAAATTGCATAAATATCCTGCATATTCCATTGCATTTTTAAAGGAGCTGTATGTAAGATTGTGGCCAAAACTGGTACTGCAATCAGTTTCAAATTGCTGTAGAGCGGTGTATCCCTTCCCCCTCCCCCCTGACTCGAGATTGCCAGATAGGCAGCAGGATCCAACATTTTTTTTTATCCCACACGTTTTTAGCTGCCTGACAGTTGAGGGCTGCAACTTCACTTTTAAATGACAATATCCTGACCGGACTGCTGTTGTCAGTGATATAAGTATTTGAAATGAACATGATTTCTTAATGTCTAGTGACATATCAGGGACATTTTAGGATTATTTGAAATAAATTTCTTACTCCTTTAAAGAAAACGGGACGCATAATCAAGGATTTTTGCCTGCAACAATCACAAAAAACTATTTTTTTGGAAGGACTGTATTATGGCTCGTTTCCACTGCAGGGGTACGGTACAGTACGGTACAGTACACTACGGGTCGGGTCGGTACACCATGATCAGGCTTGCGTTTCCACCGCGAACACTACCCTTACTTGATAGTAAGGCACAAAAAGATATACAGTAAAGCTTTAATAACATAAAGAAAAAATTCAGTCAGTCAAATATACAAATTTAACGCTCAAAGATATGAAATTTTACTTAGCCTTCTTCCCAAACTATTGGCCAGGGAATGAATTATAGATTCTAATGTCCTTGTAGCACGAGCAAGTGACGATACTCTGTCCACCAATCAGTGTTCTGCAGTGAGTCAAGCTCCACCTTTTAGTACCCTTTCACTATAGGTACCTCAACGGAAGGGTACCCAAAAAGTGGTATGGTACAGTCCGGCTTTTTGGTACCATTCACAACGTTTGACAGTGGAAACGCAAATAATTGCATACCGAACCGAACTGTGCCGTACCGTACCACTCAGTGGAAACGAGCCATTAGGTGTGTTGCAGTGGCGCTTGATATGTAGTTGTCATATCTGGCTATAACATGACATATAACCTATAACACGCTCTCACACATTTATTTTTTAGCATTGTTAGGAGGAATAAAAGCATAAGGAGCAAAAGAGGAGCAGTGGTATGAGCGGTCGGATTCAAATCTGTCTCGAATACGTTTCGGAAGGCATCGTTTCACAATCGGATAGCTAGTGGCCAGGTGTAAATGGCCCCATAGAGGAGTGTTGGATAGTATAGTGCTGTAGTTTTCAAACAAGAGTTTTTATTTAGTGATGTCTGCCCACAGATCTGTTCTAATTTGATGTGTAATGTAAGAGGTGTTATGTTTCTGCACTCTTCCTACTTTTAGCAAATAAATTAAAAGTTTGTTTAAAAACATTTTTTTTTTTTGTGATGGTTTGTATTTTTTTATTTTTGTGCACTTTATGGAACATCAATGCCTCTTTAAGTGATGAACTGAAGATTTATATTTGTGCTACAACTGTTGGCCTGTGCTACAAAACATTCAACCTCTGTAGCACCAGTGCTATGTGCAAAAAAAGTTAACGTACAGCCCTGCCATTTAGTCATGACTCATGTCTGACTTTCGACTGTCTGCATATCACAAATGCACTATAACGAGTGTGTTCTTCTGGAAAACTCTCCCAGTGCTGGGGTTTTCTACAGCGCGAGTGCAGCAGTGATCGCAAGCTTAGAGCTCTCAACTACTGTTTTAACAGCAACAAATTCTAATGTTTTGTGTGTGTTGACAGCTGGTTAGAGGGCTGAAAATTGAGTCCTTCGTTGTTTCAGTTCACTGTTCAGTGTTGCCACGGTCATTCCCCTGTGTGCTCCGGCACTGGTGATGGCTCCTGTTTCCTGAGCTCAGATGCTCCTAATATTAGTGATATTTATCACACATAATTGTTGAGCGCTGCTCCTGTCCTGTGCTGCAGTCCTACTGGAGAAGGACGATGTAGCCTCTCCTCCAGCTGATATGAAGACCGGTTTCTATAAACCCGTACTTCATTGTACCCTAGATATGTGGTGGATTAGGGCCCTTTTTTGAAAGCCTCTGTTCAATTACTACACACAAATGCATTTTCAAATGCTCCGTCCCTAAGGTTGGCCTGTAGCGTTCAACCTGAAGGACAGTACTTCAGATCTCTATCCTTCCCCTCCACAGACCATTCTGTGTTCTGGCGTCGAGGGTAGGAAGTATCAGTACAAGTCCTACCCTTCAAGTGCTCCATAGCCAGTTGGGTCTTCAGGTCAACTGGGAGAGAGTGATCTCACCCACGGGCTGAGTATCAGGTTGACTAACATCGACTGAGTGGCCCTGTATAAAGGACATACTTTAACGGAGGCCTGGGCAACCTCCGAGTGCATTGGTAATTGTTACCTCAAGTTGGCAGTTCACCTCGCTTTGAGCCACCGCTGCTCAGCAAGCTGGTACTGGTCTGAAAAGACAACATCACAAACGTTGCGCTAAGCTTCCCTCGCATGTCACAACTCACCCGTCACTTCCATCTTGGAGCCAGAACCTTCTGAGGTCGCTTCAGTCTACTACAAAATTCTTCTGGCCTGCTCAATCGTGCTGCCAACGAGCCTCACGACAGCTATGGCCAGGGAAAGTGGAGACTCCAATCCCCAGGCGGTTCAGCTGGGCAGGGACCACTCCAGGGCCGCACAGTTAAATCTGTTGCATTTCCGGACTCATCCCTCTGACAGTTGTGTTTCTGTCTGAGCGGACATCCCTTGGATAGACACGGGCTCTCAGCTGAACCTGGGGCCCCGCAGAAATGCGTTTCCCAGTGAGCCTTAAAAGAAAGCGGCTATACGATTCATTATCGCTTGACGCTGCACAAGTTCAGATAATGTTCATCACACTCAGGTGTTGAGCAGAAATGTTCCTAAAGCTCAGTGAATTATCACATCTAGTGCTGAGCTGTGCTCCTGTCTTGTGCGTGCATGTCGCTTGCACCAACTGTGCTAAGTCAGGAGTGCAACAGGTCTCGATAGTTGCCCCTTTTTGGCTCAACCAGATCTGGTTCCCTCGACAGCCTTCCTGACTTCCCCTGAATACATTTCAGAGACGGGGCATGATGGCACCCGCATTAAAATAACTGGACTGGGAGGTTCAGGTTGCTATCATAAGGATATGTGGTTGTGACCATCACTTCTGAAAGCACCCCTAAAGATAAGGCAAACAGGGCTTAAACTGGGACCAGGTGGTGAGCCTGCAAGCGCTGCCTGGAGGAGGTAGATCCAGCCCTGGCTTTCTCTGTCCGTCCGCTTTATTGTGGTTTTATATACACAGAACGCAAGCCTTAGGACCTCAGAACAGCTCTTATCTGTTAAGGAAATCAGCAGAGAGGGAAGCAGTTTCCAAGCGAGGTTGGCCCACTGAAAGTGGTTGCCTTCATTTTGTTGAAATTCCCAAGATGCAAATGTCCACTTAGGTGGTGAGCTCCTCTTAAATGAGTGTGTACTCCTGCTTAGGCGTTGACACAGAGTGCTTCGCTGACAGAAATTCTAGAGTTGAGGGCTGGGCGACACCTTAGTCGAACCGCTGCTTCCCGTGGGCTCCCTTCACATGAAGTGTGTAATGCATTTCACACACGCCAATTACATTGGCTCATTTTATTAGTACTCGAAGATGCTGTCATCTCTAAGCGTGATCCTGATCTGTTGACATGCCAACTACATCTCAGTTCCCCCGGAGATGGGAACGAGGGTTATATACGTAACCGAGACGTTTCGGTAAACACTGACTTGTTAAAATAAGATGATAACGACAGAACTTGCAACCATAGTTGGCTAACGATGCTTTTGGGAAACGCATCCTTGGTCAATGTGTCATCATCAAGGAGTGGATGAGCTGGTGTGAGTTAATGGAGGCGGGGCTAATTTGCATATGCATAGAACCGTGTTTACTAAATGAGGCTAGAGTTACATTCAAGCTATTTTAAGGCATGAAGATTTTGTTTTTCAAGGGAAAAATTCTTGAATATGTCATTTTTGTGATCAAAGGTGAGTTTTAAGAGATACAATGATTGACTACAGGGGGACTTCAACATTTCATAATAATACAGTATATGCAGAATGCTTCTTTCTTTTTATATAATTTTCTTTTTACTGGACATTACAAGAATATCAAAAACAAGCAATATATCTGAATCCAAGTGGGGGAAATAACAAAGAAAAAAAACAAGAGACTTCAAACACCATTTGCCTATGATGATTGCATTTCCCCCTTTTTTCTTTTCTCTTAGAATAAGAGAATAGATGACAAACATTACTCATGACTCAGATAATCACATGGCACAGTCAAGGCTAAGCTATGATTTCCTAAAGGTTACCAAGGTAACGGTGTCTCTCATTCTCTCTCCACTCTTTTTTCTACCCTCCTTTCCCTGTTTTCTTGCTGTCCTTTTTCCAGAATAACCACTACAGCCGCCTGTATGATGGACCTGAGACGGTACCCCCTCGATGAACAGAACTGCACCCTGGAGATTGAGAGCTGTAAGTGAAAGGAAATGTGAACGCACACAGACACACACACACACGCTTTGTTCGAAATGCAATACTAGCATACTGCACCTGTAGAGAAGTTTTAGCCATGTTTTAGAGGATATAATATGCGAAAAAAGGAAATTAGGCATCAGAATATTACAACCAGGCCGGAGAGGTGTGAATTTGTGCAGGGGGAGACTGAACATTATTGGGGCATTATTGTAGTAGACAACTGACTATAGCAATAATAGACTGAATGAATGCTGAACTGATGTTTTAGAGTCTCCTCTAAATAAAAATACCAATAATATTAAATGAAACTCAGAGTTTTAGAGATATCTTAAGATATAAATACAACATGGTAAGACGTCTAAACACTATCAAGGTCAATTTCCTTTTTTTTGTCATGAAACATTTAATGGAAATAAATTTCAAATAACTTTACAATACATTGAATTAATGAAGCATTTACAAAAATTATATAATGTTTACCATATCATTAGTTAATATGTATTCAAATAGCTACAAGTATGAGATAATATGAGATATTAGCCCTCATTTATCATTCTTGCATTGAAACGGGGTATATTTTGGCGTAAGATTATGCTTACACTCCTCTCACCGCCTGATTTATGAAGCTGTGCGTACCTTTGAAATCCAGGTGTACGCAATGCCTGCCCATGATAAATCCCGCGGCCAAAAACGATCGTCATTAGAATAACACGCCCCTAAATATTCAAGTCTCCGCTTCCCCCACGCTGTCATTTTACGCCATGGACACACCGAAGATGGCAAAGAAGAGAAACTTCTCTGACGTGCAGCCGAAATGACCTCTCACAATGCATTATTTTACAGCACGTCTTTTGAAATTAACATTCAATTTCGAATCACGTCTAGTGTACACCTTGAATTGCTTAATGCTTGAATTGTTATAAGGTGTCCAATTATTTTGAGGGAAATGCACAGGTAAAGTAGTTCCATGCAGGTCTTGACCACATTAGACTTCCATATCACTTCGCCAAATAATTTCAGTTATTTCAAATGTCTTTACAGCTTACAACAGCAACAGAGCTAAAACACACAACGACACTGACCAAGCAAATACAAACGTAGTAAATGTAGTAAACAATGGGATAAAAAAATATTTCCAAAATTTTGTTTTATTGTGTATTTTTTATTTCTTATAGAAAGGCAAGTACTCTCTTTCTTCCGCTCTCTCTCCCACTCAAACGCACATACAGACAGTACAGACATGCACTCACACTGAAATGTGTTATCAGTGCTGCTCTGACAATTTTAGCAGTAAAATAGTTTAACAACTTAAAAGCTAAATGACATTCCTCACTAGCAATGTAATAATGGCACTGTTCTTGGAGCAGATACACATAGAGTTTCACTACAGTTTATATTTTATACTATAATCAGTGTTGTAGTCGAGACCAGCTCACTCGAGTCCGAGTCGAGACAGAGACCATAGAGGGTCGAGTCCGAGTCGAGACCGAGACCAAAGAGAGTCGAGTCCGAGTTGAGTCCGAGACCAAAGACAGTCGAGTCCAAGTCGAGATCGAGACCAGAGAGGCTAGATAACCTAAGGTTGGGTCTAAAACCAGAGTTAAAGATATCTTCAAAAATATGTAAAATATTTGGTGGTAACAATAAAATTGGCACCATACTCAAACAATAAACCAAATATACCATGGAATCATGTAGGCCTACACTGGAATGGTAAAAAGGCCACATAGTGGTGTAAAGGTAATTTTATTATAAATATGACTTACAATTATTACAATCAGTAAGTGCTTTTCTGACATTTTCAATACATAGTTGAGCTAGAGGCTTCACATCACATCTGACCTGGGTTCTGCTGCATTTGCGTGCCGTGAACGTTGTAGTCTCAAATCATGAGCAGTTGCACAAGAGAAAATCTGCAATCATTGGACGTTTCAATCAAACAACAATTAAAAGAAATATTAACATACAGTAATAATCATGACATATTTTGAATGGGACTCGAGTGGACTCGGGAATAAGTCCGAGTCCCGACTCCTAATATGTTCGAGTACGAGTCAATTCCGAGTCAAAATGCACACGAGTCCATGACAAGACCAAGTCGATTAAAATATGGTCTCGAGACCGAGTCCGAGTCTAGAGTGCACAACACTGACTATAATTAAAAGAAACACTGTTGAGAGACACACAGACTCAGATAATTAATTCACTCTCCCTCTCTCTCTCTCTCTCTCTCTCTCTCTATATATATATATATATATATATATATATATATATAATTATTACAATAAAAAAATGCTTCAGTGCATTATTATTACAAAACATAATGTGGCTGCACATCAGGTGTGCATTATTTGTCTAATAATTCAACAGCCTGCTATCAATTATTGCTAACTTTGTAATCATTCAAATCCATATTAATAATCAAGCTGTTAATTAGTGAATAACATTTCTTAAAAGCATTTGTAGATATAAAGTCAATAAGTTTATTAGCAAACATTTGCAAGCATATTATCTCATATTTGTAGTCAAATCAAGTCAAGTCAAATATATTTATATAGCGCTTTTCACAATACAGATTGTATCAAAGCTGCTTCACATTATCAATCAAAACAACTTAACAGTGTTTGTTTATCACTGGGAAAAAGACATCCAAGTTTGGTAGAGAAGATCAATGGTATGATTGGTCATTTAATTTGAATATCCCCAACTGAGCAAGCAAAAGGCAACAGTGGCAAGGAACCGAAAAACTCCATCAAGTGACCCAATGGTGTCCTAAAACTCCATCAGATGACCCAATGGAGAGAAAAAAAAACCTTGGGAGAACCCAGGCTCAGTCAGGGGGCCAGTTCTCCTTTGGCGTTTATGAACTAGAGGCCAAATTTACAGTAACTGTAAGATAAAAAAAAAAAAAATTATATGAATGCCTGGCTTAATAAATGCGTCTTTCGTCTAGTTTTAAACTGGGATAGCGAGTCGGAGCAACAAACAATATCAGGGAGGCTATTCCAGAGCTTCGGAGCAAAATGTGAAAATGCTCTCCCTCCTTTGGTGGATCTGGATATCCTAGGAATGACCAGAAGCCTCGAATTTAGTGATCTTAAAGAGCGCAATGGATTGTAGGGATTGTAGGAGCTTTATAAGTCAAAAGCAATACCTTGTAATTAATACGGAACTTTATAGGTAACCAATGAAGTGATGATAAAATCGGTGTTATATGATCATATTTTCTTGATCTAGTAAGAACTCTAGCGGCTGCATTTTGGACTAACTGTAGCTTGTTTATTGAGGATGCAGGACAACCAGCTAATAAAGCATTACAGTAATCTAGTCTCGAGGTCATGAATGCATGAACTGACTTTTCTGCATCAGTGACAGATAGCATGTTACGTAGCTTAGCAATGTTTCTAAGGTGGAAAAAGGCTGTTTTTGTAACATATGAAACCAAAAGACAGGTTTCAGTCTAACGTAACACCCAGGTCTTTTACTGTAGCGGATAAAGTAACAGGGCATCCTAATATGTTAAAGTCTTGCTGTGAAAGGTTTTGTGGACGGTTTTTACCTGTCTTGTCTGGATTTAATAAAAGAAAATTACGCGTCATCCAATCTTTTATATCTTTAACACAGTCTGTCAGTTTGGATAATTTAGCGTATTCATCTGGCCGTGATGAAATATATATTTGAGTGTCATCAGCATAACAATGGAAACTAATTCCATGTTTCCTTATAATATTACCAAGTGGCAGCATATATATTGAGAATAATAAAGGGCCTAACACAGATCCCTGCGGCACTCCATAGTTTGCCGAAGTTATGATAGATTTTTCTCCATTTAAGTAGACGAAATGGTAGCAGTCAGATAAGTATGACCTGAACCAGCTTAATGCTTCTCCTTGAACACCAGTGTAATTGTGTAGTCGATCTAAGAGTATTGTATGATCTATAGTATCGAACGCAGCGCTAAGATCAAGTAAAACTAGTATTGAGATCAGGGACGTGCACAGAGGGGTTGCTCAGGTTGCCCGGGCAACTGCCCATATGCCCTTCTCGACTCAGGTTGCCCTTCTGAGGAAAAAAAAAAATCGTACAATGGATGTAGAATTTCACGTAGGCCTAGACAAAAAATAATATAAAAATCGCAAAGCCTCATTCACTTCCAAAAAAAAAAAATTGAAAGTCAAACTATTTCCACGAGACCATAGACTGCACGCGACCGGTGCGTATGGTAAGGCACCGCAAATCACTCAGGCCGCGCCTCCATCTCGTGACGCGCGCTAATTAATGTGTCCATGACAAAATGAAGCGAAACTATCCTTCTCGTCACGAAAAGAGGAAGAAGAAAAACATGAGAGTGAATTGCGGGAACAGCAGTCAGGTAAACTTGTGTTCTGTCCTCTCTAGTGTCAGCAAAGTTTGATGGTTTGTCTGGGCAGGCAGTGCATCTCTTGCATCACTTTTTGCCTGACAAAAGTGAGAGTAAAATACCATTATTACGTTTTGTTTTTGATAAACGACAAAGTGCAACAACAGTGTTTGTTTACTGCAGCTCGGAGAACATAACCGCGTCGCGTGTGTTGCGTTCATATGCGCGTGCACGAAATGAAACTCGCATTTTTCAAGCAGAAATGTGGAGACCAGAGAAATACTGTACAATACGTGAATGCCCTTTTTTCAGGTCAGAGCAACTGCCCCTCAAAATTCCTGTGCACGTCCCTGATTGAGATACAGCCTTCCCAGATAGCAAACTGACATTGAATCAACGTGGAAATATGACATAGAAACAACGTTGATCTGACATTGTTTTGCTCATCGAATTAACGTTGAACCAACGTCAGACGCGTCATTCTTTCAAAACTAACGGAAAATCAACTTGAAATCAACGCGTTGTTTCAACGTTATGAAAGCAAACCAATTTTCGATTTTCATTTAGCTTTGAAGAATGCCGCATCTGATGTTGGTTCAACGTTAATTCGATGAGCAAAATCAACGTTGTTTCAATG